CCAACAGCTCCCTGTCTTTCTTGTACTGGGGGCTCCACACTTGGATGCAGTACTCCAGATGGGGTCTCACAGGAGCAGAGTAGAAGGGAACAATCACCTCCCTGTTCCTGCTGGCCACCCCTCTTTTGATGGAACCCAGGATAGCATTTGCCTTCCAAGCCGCAAGGGCACACTGCTGGCTCATGTTAAGTTTTTCATCTATCAAGACCCCCAGGTCCTTCTCCACTGGGCTGCTCTCACGGACCGCTCCTTCCAGTCTGTAGGGATGCCTGGGATTCCTCCAGCCCAAATGCAAAACTCTGCACTTCGCCATTTTGAACCTCATCAGGTTCACCTGGGCCCACCTTTCTAGCCTCTCGAGGTCCCTCACAAATCTCTTCTCGCATACTTGTTGTCCTAGACTTTCACTTCTGAGTAGAGTCCAGCAGGCTCTTGCATCTGGTTCGGTGCTTGTTTGCTTTCTTTCTGCAGTGCTAATTACTGACTCCTGCTCAGTGCAGCTTGGCTGTCAAATCTGAAATGCCAGCATGTTAGAATGCCATCTATAGCTTATTCATTTGATTTGAAAACTGAGCTCTCAAATGTTTATCCATCTGAGATTTCCTTCACATCTTACCACTACTTACTTCACAGATTTTATCTCTGTCTCTGCACTGATCTTCCTCAACAGTTCCCACAAATTTGTGCAACAGTTTTCTTTGTAGCCTGGTAGCAGACAGCTTTGTCCTGTCTAGCTTTTTGTATCTTCACAAATCTCCTGAGAAACACACTTTCTTGATATTCTCTCTTCTTAGTAATGTTTGTGTAGGCACTTGATAGCATCATCACCATCATTATACCCTATACCTCTCTTGTGTCATAAGATACTTCTGGCCCACTTGTGTGAAAGACAAAGTTAAATTCTGCTGACCTTCATATCCGGTCAGTTTCTTTCACCTCTCCTTTTTCCATGCCACCTTGCTTTATCTAATCACAGCCAGCCATAAAACATGTGGTAGTCTAAAGGTGATGATATAAACTGTTTTATAACATGTTGCATGCCATAAAAAATGATAATGAGGTTTATCAGAGAAACAAAGCATGTGTGGACTACTTACTGGCAAAGAGTTTGTTAAAACCTTTCTTACCTGACTTCCAACAGCTCAGAGTTTGAGCTCATTTTACCTCACCCCCCAAATTGCTCCTATACTTCATACTGGTTTTGCAAAGCAGCAGCATGATGAGACTATCTTCTGAAATTTTTGCTTCTACTGCTTTTAGCAAGGCTGACAGTAGCTACAGTAGTTCACAAGCTGCCTGCCATAAGACTCAATAAATGAAAAAATAAAACCAAAAACCCACCAGAGAAAAGAAAAAATAGCATATGGCCACACTGGGGGAAAAAAAGAGGGAGAGAGAAGTTACTGCATTATGCAAGTGACAGAAAATTCTTGCATGCTGTCAATTTTTTCAAGATCCTGAAATCCTAATGGTCATGCACATCCATAATCATGCTTCTTTGAGATACATACTGCTGGAAGCTTTAGCCCAGTTTTTGTGCATGGAGGATCAAGTGCTTTAATACCCATCCGCTAACAAAAAGATGGTCAACAAGCGTCATCTGAACAGCTAAGAGAGATAATCTGTGGAAGAACTGTGTGGTTGTAAGGGCTTACCAAGAGCCAGAGGAGTGCTCAACAAGACTCTTGCTCCTTTAACAACTCACTTTACCCGTGGTGCAACCCTGCACAGAATGGAGCTTGCACAACCAGCAAGAGATGCTCAGCTCGACTGCATGAAGTCTTCTTCTGAAGCCTATTTGCTCAGCCTTGAAGCCTGTGGCAGAAGCAGTGCCCATATCCCATTGATGAAGTTGAGGAGCAGCACACTGTACTAAGCGACTATCACAAACAGAGCAGGGCAAGAATCAAACCTCCTTTCAGGCGTACACGTATCCTTTAACCCAAATCAGTAAGCCCTTCCTCATCCACCAATGCGTTGGAACCTTCCAGACAGCACCAAATCATCGTCTGCAGATATTTGTGCCAGTCTCTACGTAAAATAGAAGGCTAACACATGTGTATCCCTTCCAGATGTATGCAGGTCACTCCAAAAGTAATGCCTGCTATTTATTTCCATGGAAACTAGTTGATAGAGCAAATTCTCAGTTACAAAACGCTATTTTTCAACATAGTCACCACCAATAGCTATGCATTTTCACCAGCAATGAACAAAAACCTGCATGTGCAATCATAAGCTTCTGTGCCAGTAGAGGTGACCACCGCTGAAATGCACCACCCACTGCCTCACTACGCTCACATCCTCTGTTTGGTCTCCAGAAATGTTCATCAAGTATCAGAAGATGCCAATGGGTGCCATTTTTTCCACACTGAGGAATTCAGACGCACCTTTGCTTCATACATACTTCCATGTCAGATGCCTTTGTGTCAGACTGAGCCTCTGCTGCCATCTGTCACACAGCAACAGCATATTATGTTGTGGATATTGGTGGGAAGGTTCAACTTTTTCTGCCGTATTACCAACTTCTGTCTCTGATGTTGTGGGCCAACACAAAAAAATAGGAGGCATTACTTTTGGAGCAACCCATGCACAATACATTTACTAATTGCAAAGTGACATTGCTGAGAATACTCATGAAAATTAACTAGACATTTTGTTAAAATGTTATGTCATTCTTCCAAGATATATTGTGAATTTTAATCTCTTCCTCCCCAAATTCCTTCTAGCAAGCACATGCCTGATGCCCTGGGTTTTCATGCAGTCCTACAGCTGCAAACCCTGAGCCTCACCTGTAATTTGTTTTACTTTATTTGACTGTAAATGTTAATCAGATATGTTCTACGTAGTAGTGTGCTTTATACAAACTGATTTTAATGTGGTTATAGTGTGAAAATGCTCTACTTCTGTATCTTGAATGAAAGAAAGCAGTGTATCTGCTCTTCAGTTTCTTTCCATCTTTTCTTTCTCTGGTGTATTATTAGTGGGATTTTTTTTTTTTTTTTTTTTTTTTCAGTTTATGCATCATTCAGTAATGAAAACGTTGAAAAGGCAAAATTAAGCAGCAAGTATTTTGAATTTTCACTTGTTTGTTTTTCAGCTGTGTTGATGACATATCCTAAGCAGGAATTGGTACATCTTATGGTGTTCTACCAGTGAAACTTTGCCAGTCTTACACTGGCAGAACCTTGTATGTGCAATTCTGAATCTTGTCAGAAATACCATGAGCTTATGATAGACAGCCCAAAGCATCCCCCAGAAAACATCAGCACTTTAGCAGACCTGTCCCAGTGCTGCAGCACGTGTTTGAGCACTGCCTGGGATTGTTCAGTCCTGAGAAGAGGAGGCTCCGGGGAGACCTTACCTCTCTTCAACAGCCTGAAAGGAGGTTGTGGTGAGGTGGGGATCAGCCTCTTAGGTAACTGTGATAGGACAAGAGGTAATGAACTTAAGTTGTGTTGAGGAAGTTCAGGCTGGGTATTAGGAAAAATGAGGAGCAGTGAGGTGCTGGTATGGGTTGCCCAGGGAGGTGATGCAGTCACCATCCCTGGAGGTTCAAGAGTCGTGTGGATGTGGAATGTAGGGACACGGTCAGTGGGCATGGTGGGCTGAGCTCAAGGCTGGACAAAATGATCTTAGAGGTCTTTTCCAACCGTAATGATTCTGTGTTTTTATGAAACACTACCGTGGCAATAAAATCATGGAGCAGTGTGAAAACTTTTCTGCTCAAAAGTTCAGCAGTTTTGTTCCACTTTATTCATTTTCTGCAATAAAATATGCAAATTACAAACTTTCTGTACACCCACGACAATTTGGTTGGTTGTCACTATCCATGCAAGAACTGAGTGGCTCTTTTGATGTTGTCCTTACAAGAAAATAAGGGCTCAAACAGAGGTGTACCCATATGAGGGTACTCAAAGGAAAGCAATGACAAGACTATCGCACGAAATCCTTCCTCTCCTGTTCACCTTTACATCTACACCGGTGCGTTTCCAATGGCTTATACGAAAGAGTCGTTATCGGAAATATCCATTTACTGCCTTTAAAACTGGCTCAGCAGCTGTGCCGAAGGATGACAGCGTACCCACAGCCGGCAGTACTGGAGCGGCGCAGCTACCGGCGGCAGAACCTGAGCAGCCGCATCCCTGCGGGCTCCGTGCGCCGCCGGGGGAGGGCGGGGGCCGGGGAGGGGCCGGCCGGGCTCTGCCTCCTTCCGCCCCGGCTTCTTCTGCCCCGCGGGCGACGGCGGCGGCGGTAGTCATGGGGGTGGTCGTGGGGCGGCGGAGACGCTGGGGGGTGCCGGTGCTGCTTTTGGCTTACCTAGGTTACGTGGGGCTGGGAGCCGGCGTGCTGCAGGCGCTGGAAAGGCCGGCCGAGGTGCGGGCAGCCCGGCGGCTCATCCAGCAGCGCTGGGAGCTGCTCGCCAACCACACCTGTCTGCAGGGGCCCGCCCTGCAGCGGCTCATCCAGGTGAGCTCCGGGCTGCCCGAGCATCAGCTCGTACAAGGGCTTCTCCCCGTCGCCGCTGTTCTCGCAGGAGTTGCGGTGTTGCTGGTCTGTAGGTGGCGGGTCCTGCGGTGGGTACGTGGGATGAATGGCAGGGAGGTCTGGTTCGCTGTTGAATTAATCAAGTATGAATTATATGTAGCCTCTGGCGTGTTACAAGTGAGAAATTCCAATGGCTTTGGCGTGCTATGTTTAACTCATTGTTGTAATTAGTTTTTGATATTTTTTTTCTTCTGATTTTCTGTTCCTTAACTAAGGGGAAATGGAAAAATCCTGATAAGGAGCCACCTGAGTCACATTAGAAAAGCTTCTGAGAACATGTGGAGGGAGGCTGCAGTACATAAAGGTGGACCAAATGCAATCTCACTGAAGTAGCTATATTTTATGATGCAGAAATGTATGAAATGGGATAGATGTTTTTTGCCACCTTCTATAAATAAGATTGAAGGGTGCTGAACATTTACACAAACCATTCCAGTTTTGGATGTGCTGGTGGTTGATTGCGTACTGCTTATTTTGGTCTCTCTCTACCTCAGATAGGAGCTGGTGGGAAGAAAAGATCGGGGGAGGGTGTGTGCTTGTTGGTGGCTGGAAACGTGGCTGGTCATCAGAGTTCGAAGGACCTAAAATCCTAAAATATAACTATTTACACTTTCCCCCCTCTCCTCCCAGTAGAGAGAAATTAAAAATAATAGAAAGCCATCCAGTAGATAACTTTGTTGGGAATTTCACTAATGTCCCAGCAGACAAAACTGTGCTGATACCTATGTCTCATCCCTTGACTTTCTGATTGGCAAATTCTCTCAAGCAGTCAGTTGGTCCTTTGAAGTTGGTCCCTTGAAAGCTACCATGGTCTACTCCTATTGTTTGTATTGTGTGCTGTGTACAGCCCCAAGTGTGGGATGTAAATAATCTTTTGAAATACTTGTCAGAGAGAAGGGATAAATATATTAGAGCAGACCAGCCTGGCATTTCATAGAGGTGGCTGGAAGTTGAGTTTAGTTCAGTGCTGGCACACAGAACAGTGAGTGTGGGCCTGATCTGGGACCTCTGGGGGCTTCCCTTGGTGAATGGCAGCAACATGGTGATGGCAGTGGGCAGAAGGCAACTACAACTGAACAGGCAGCAGTGTCCTTTTAATGGCGTTCTCATGGTGTTTCCCTGCAGGATGACCCCTACTATTTCTTGGTACTGTCTGGTAGTCACATGAGAAGGAGAACCAGCGAATCCCTTTAGATGATCTATTGCTTTAACATGTCAAGTCAGTATTTAATTATGACCTGAGCAATCTAGATGAGGAAGATAAAAGAAAGTTTGGTTTTATTTTAGCATCTGCGCATGCCTTTGTGTTTTGAAAAACCATACCCAGTTTGAATGGCTTCATGTGTTATTTTTAATAACTTTCACAGTGAGAGATTAATCTTAAACAGATAATCCACAGGATTGTCTATTTTCCTGCATTCTTTTCTCATTTCCTGCGTGGCACTGTTTATTTACTTTAAGTGTGCTCAAAAAAATGAGATTTTTTTGTGTGCAGTGAATTGCTTAATGCAGAGTTTAATACAGGCAACATCATTACTAGCCCTCTTCAGATAACAAATGTATTTTTAGGTACACTGATGATTATTTGCCAATAGAGAAAGCCTATAAAGAGTGTGGAAGCATAAAGCACTGAGTAAAATTTAATAATGAACTGTCTGTAATGTCAAAGCAATTTTCTTTTAGCCTCCTGGATAATTCTGAAATCTAGGTTTACTTTAAAGTGCATAGGAGCCAATATAGAATAAAATCCCAGTTTGCCAAAGCAATGTGCAAATACAATTTTACAACCTGTTTATCGCTTAGATCCTAGTTACCATCCACAATTGGCAATCTACTCTTCTAGCCCTTGCCTAGACAGAGAGCTCCTGCTTTGGGGAGCTGACAGGAGAGTGTGCTGTGAGGATGGGCAGGAGGAAAGGTGAAGGAGACCAAAGCATGCAAGGAGAGCTGGACAGTGAGTTCTTGACCTGTGACCTCCATGGCTCACATCTTTCTGGGTCAGAAACAGTTGCCTAGTTAGGAAAACAAAAAAATGGGAAGAGTTGGAGATAGCAGACCAATAACAAACAGGGGGAAAATGTGTTGGCTCAGTGTGTGACTTTTGTAGTTGTGGGGCCCTGCTTCCCACAGCTGTTTTTCTGCATGGCTCTTCCCCTGCTGGATTCTGTAGTTCTATGTAACAGAGGGTAGCACATGAATATGTTTCATATATAACCACACAAAAATGCGTGCTTGTGTGTTACTACCTGTGTGTAGGGAAGATTGATCTGCATTTTTCTTGGCTTTCATTATTTATGGCTGGAACAGAGTAAGGGACAACTGCTGTACATCCAGTAACTTAACATCTACTGAGGGAAGGCGTGTTGGGGTTTGCTGACCTGTCTGTCCCTTGGCCATTTTTGTGACACTTAAATGAAATCTATAGTATGAACACAAAGAAAAAGATCAGGAGCAAACAGCTCCTGAGAAGCTGCTAAGCAACATATAGAGTGGGTGGTATCTGGTTTGTTATAAATGTGATGATCTTTATTTTAAAGTGTGAGGTCACATCAAAGGAAGCTCTGAATTTTGCAGAAAGTGGAAACAAATGCCATGTGACAGATTTCAGGTGATCACTGTACTGAGGGTAACTGGACTCCATTGGGAGGGAAGGAAGTACTTAAGAGTCTTGGTCCAGGTAAAAGTGATGCTAGTTCCAGATGTGAGAACCTTCCAGAAGTGTCCAGTGAGTGAAGCTGTACGCAAAGAAGGCACTTTTTTTATGGTCACATCACTTATAGCTGAGGTGTGTGGGATTGGTCCTAGACACAACACTCAGCTTGATGCACTTGGAGCCATAGAATCATTAAGATTGGAAAAGACCTCTAAGATCATCCAGTCCAACTGCACACCCACCACCACCATGCCCACTAACCATGTCTCCCAGTGCCACATTCACATGTTTCTTGAACATCTTCTATCCTATGAAGAAAGGTTGAGGAAACAGGGCTTGTTTAGCTTGGAAAAGAGAAGGCTTTGGGGAGACCTGATTGTGGCCTTCCAGTACTTGAAGGGAGCATGTAAACAGGAGGGAGAATGGCTGTTTACAAGGGTGGATAGAGATAGGACAAACAGGAATGGTTTTAAACTGAGACAGGGGAAGTTTAGGCTAGATATTAGGACGAAGTTTTTCACACAGAGGGTGGTGACGCACTGGAACAGGTTGCCCAAGGAGGTTGTGGATGCCCCATCCCTGGAGGCATTCAAGGCCAGGCTGGATGTGGCTCTGGGCAGCCTGGTCTGCTGGTTGGCGACTCTACCAGTGGAAGGGGGGTTGAAACTAGATCATCTTTGAGGTCATTTTCACCCCAGGCCGTTCTATGATTCTATAGTGACCCCTCCACCCCTTCTAGAATATAAGTCCCTGTTTTACTGCCTTGGTGTAGAATAAGTAGCTCTGGTGCAGCCGAGCTGTCCTCCAAACTTGGTGTTTTTGTCACTGGCTACAGATACAGATTTAGTTACAGTTGCTCTGCTTTTCAGCATTTCTTTAGTTGGAAGATTGTCCATATGGCCAGACTTGCAGTGCTGCATTTTCTGTGTTGGGCTGTTACCGTGATGTCCTTTTTTGCAATCTTTTCTTTTTTTTCTATAACTAATCACTTAACAGCTGTTTCCAGTATTTATTATATTGTTCTATATGCTTTCTAACATTTTAGATGCAAAAAGTTACTTAAGCCATGTCATCTAAATAAACAGGGAAGAAGAAAATCAAAGCTAAGCTTAATGGAAATAAATACTTTTTCATCTAGCAAGATTTAAGGTGTAATGTAAAAGACCTAATACTAAAGGGCAGGTCATGAACTAAAAGCCTATAGGTGGGTATAGATACTGTTATCTCCAGAGTCAACAGCTGGAGCCACCAGGTTAATGACTACAAGAGAAGTAGTTCCCATGTGACTGAAAGATCCTCATCTATGCTTTGACTTGCACTGACATTGAACTGACAGAGATTTTTCCAGCTGTCAGGAAATACAGCCCTGCAAATGTAGTTTAATAAAGTCATCTTGCATACAGGTGATACAGCAGAAGTTGACTGTTAAGGGGTGAGCATCAGAGATCCCTGTTGGTGCTAAGAGACTTAATGCAACAGCACTGGCTGTGTTGTGGAGCAGTGATATATCTGTATAGGGCCCACTTCAGTCAGAATCTCCATCAGTGTGTTGCAGGTGAAATAGAGTTGATCAGCTATAATTGCTTTTTCTAACGTATTATCAATATGTATTATACTTAGGTTGAATTATAGCCAGCACACTTTTCCTCAGATCCATATCTGAGAGAAATTAACATACCCATGATTCTTTCTAATTAACAGTTACTAAGAGAATGTGCAGACCCAGCTGCAACAGTAAAAGTGCTTCTGCTGATAGAGCTAACTTAGTTCAGTGGAACTGACACCAATTACGTGAGCAAAACTGTGTGTATTTCTTTGAGATTTTTGTTGTTGTGTTGTTTGGGGGGAGTAATTATTTGACCAAATTTCAGGTTATCTGAAAGACATGAAGTTAAGGAAACTCAGAAATCCAGCATCCATAATGAATCTTGTGCCTGTTCTTCTGTTAGTCTGTGTTCAAGTAAGCTTCCACTCTGGGAAAGGAAAGGAAATCAGAGTTCATGCCTGGGAGTGGTGTAATCCATAATCTTTTATTAAATTATTTTGAAGTTAACTGACCCTTGTCCTCACAATCTGAGATCAAGATTAACATTGTTTTGTTCTGATTGCAGCTAGAATTCTATGAAATGTGAATGGTGTTTATATAGAAACGTTACATAGAATTTCCAGAGCACAAAGATTGTGAGATGATATTTCATCATTGCTCTGAATGGTAGTTTGGTGCCTTGGAAATACCTTCTTTAACTCATTGATAGACTGTGAAGGTGAG